AAAATCAGGGTCAATTCCGATAACCTAGATCCGGCTGTTGTGGGAATCAAGTGGTGGAGTCAAACCACCACCCATTGCAGACAAAGAGCTCGAGTTGAGAATCTAGAGTGACTCTTGCGCAGCTTCGTCGTGGATACTGTAGCAGGTTAAACTCCTACTTAACAGCCCTCTCCCTAAGGTCCGACGAAACGGCACATTTCCGATTTCCGTCGATGACAACTTATCTGACCTTACCACCTTTTTCTCCCCTAGTAAACCCACAGCGACCATATTCATGAACTGCCGACTAGCGGAATCGGCCGGCCGTTCACAAACATGCATATACATGTATATAATTAATAAAAGCAGTCAACCCAATTAGATGTACATGCTGCTGAAAAAAAATAGCGGCCTGAAAAAATTTACAAATTTTTTTACATTTACACGATTTTATCCTACAAAGTGTTTTTATTTATTAGATCAGTAACGAAAATGTAATAATTTCAGCCTCTGTGACAGTACCAAACTCGTTTTCCATCGCCCTATCTTCGTCGATGTAGATGATCTCCCATCTGTTTGGAGTGGAACAGATTAAACTAATAGAAAATCTGGTAGGTAGTTATTATGGAGGATCGAGTCATGTGTAGAAGTTCACGCAAGTGATGAAAGTTTTCTGATCGCCATTCACTTGGGAATGGCCAAAAACGATTCTTTTACATATGACTCAAGCAGCTCACGACTTCCGGTCCTTGACCAAGTATCCTCTGGGTAGCCTAAGAACATCCGTTTGAAGGTGAGCTAAAGTGAGAAGGCGAAACATTCCCTGTATAGGGTTGCGCTGGGTTTGGGACCCGCCACGTAAAAAAACCACCCCAATGACAACGCAACAACAGCCTCGGATGAGAGACCCCACTTTTGATGACGACTATGGCAAACGAAATAAGGACTACGATTTGAGGGCATGCACCTGAAATATCCGGTCCGGCCCAGCTGGTTGATGTCCTCGTAAAAAAAAAAGGCTGACATCACCGCCGTCCAAGAAATGCGATGGACGGGACAAGGACAGAGACGAGTAGGTCCTTGTGGCATTTACTACAGTGGCCATATAAAGG